CAACAGCGCTCGCCCCCGCATGGCTCCCCATGCACTGGGGGCCCACCCTCCGGGAGCCAGCAGGCAGGAAGCTAGCCAGCCGGAAGACTGGTGCTTCCCACCTGTGGCTCCCTGTGTGCCGGAAGCCCTCCTTCTGGGGAACGATGAGGCCGGGAGTGAGCCGCTGGTCCGAAGACTGGCGCTCCCCGCCCAAGGCTCCCCGTGCATTGGGGGCCCCTATTTTTCGTCTTTTTTGAGACAGGGTCTTGCTATGGAGTTCAGGCTGGACTTGAGCTCACCTTGAAGCCCAGACTGGTCTTGAACTCACAATGATCCTCCTCCCTCAGCCTCCTGAGTGCTGGGATTACAGGCGTGCGCCATCATGCCTGGCTCTATCAATCACTCTTAACATTTATATTTCCAATATACACTTGAAAACTTCTCCAGCACCTACCAATCACCCAATTTCAAAGCTACTTCTACATTCTTAAATATTTGTACACCCACTCCCTACCCTCAGTATCAAATCTTTATTAGTTTGGGTTCTTCAGGGAAACAGAACTAACAGTGCATACTCACACGTACACACAATGAAGGGTTAGCTCACACAGCTAGGTAGCCGAAGGAGTCCATGCTCTGTAGTCAGCAACCTGGAGACCCAGGAAAGCCTATGTGTGAGTCCAAAGGCCTGAGAACCAGGAGAGCTGAAGGTACAAGTTCCAGCCCATGTCTGCCTCTGTAGGCAGAAGACAGCAGTCTCACTTCAATGACAATCAGGCAGAGAGAGCCAACTCTCTCTTCCTCAGCCTTTTTTGTTCTATTAGACTTGCAGTGGATACAGGCCACGACCCACCCACCTGCTCCACCCGCCCGCGTAGGCGAGGGTAATCTGCTTTGTTCAGTGTACTGATTCAAATGTTAACTCATCCAAAACACCCTTCAGACACACCCAGAACCGGAATAATGTTTAACCAACTTGGCCCCACATAAAATCAATTATCCCAATGGCCTGCAAGTTCCTGCCACAAAAAATATTAGTGAAAATATTACAATTTATTTCCCTTGGACTTTGTTTTACTTTAAAAATAACCTTTTAATTACATGGATGTTACACAGATGAAATGGAAGTAAATATTTCTCCTATGTCAGTATTTTTATCTATTCTTGTGACTTTATTTTTGTGGTTTATATTCTGTGCAAAAAGAAATGTTCATTATATTTTATTTTGAAACCTATCCTTTTTTTCTTACATACTTTGAACACTTTTTGTCAAAAACAACTCGTCACAATTTATTTTATTTTATTTCATTTTATTGTCTTTTTGAGACAGGATCTCACTATGGCTGGCCTTGAGCTCACTTTGTAGCCCAGGCTGGTCTCAGACTTGCAATGATCCTCCTGCTTCAGCTTCCCAAGTGCTGGGATTACAGACGTGCGCCACCGTGCCTGGCTCATCACAATTTTAGTGACTGCATTATAATCTACTGAATGGACATATGATAGTTTTAAATCAGTCTTCTGTTATGGGACATTTAGATAGCTTCACTCTGTTATACTCTTGATATCTCAATGTTTTAGTTACAAAAGCAATACATGCATTCTGTAATTTTTTTTTTGTACTGGGAGTCAAACTCGGACCTTGTGCTTGCCAGGCAGGCGCTGTGCCGCTGAGCTATATCCCCAGCCCCTTACATGCCTTCTCTAAATAACTAAACAATAGAGAACTTTGTAAAATAAAAAGCAAAATCCCCTTTTATTCATCAATTCTTCTATTTTCCAACACTTCTATTCCTTATGAGGCTACCACCATTAGCAGTTTACTGTGTATCCTTTTGAACTGTTTTCGTTGGCTGACTGCTTTCTTTTCTTCTTCTCTTCTAATAACCTATACTTTTTTGTTTTCTGCTCTTGTCACGTGCAGCATTAAGCAGCTACTTTGTTATTCTGCTTAGTTTAGGAAACCAGGCAAATCTGTCAGAATTACATGTAAATTTAGAGAAAACCATTTGTGAGCAAAGACCTCACATCTCTCTGAGGAATTTACTGGATAGCTTTTCTGTTTTGACTGGTATTATTCCTATTAAACACACTTACTGTTACTGTGCCAGGCAGTTGGAAAAGCAACCTTCAAATAAGTATAGTGTTACTATCTTTATTTTTTGTAAGCTAAGAGTGTACTACATTTAAGTATAAACGTAATATTAACTATTCACGTGCTTATACAACTCATCATGAAATGTCAATTTAGTAAGATAGTGAAATATTATATTTCTTTGTGTGTGCACTTGTGTGTGTACATACATGTGGGCACTTGTGTGTGGTATTGGAGACTGAACCCAGGACCTTCACACTGAGCTACTGAACCTAGGACCTTCACAATGGCCCTTTTTTATTTTGAGACAAGGTCTTGCTCTAAGTCACTAAATTGCTCAGTCTGCGCTTGAACTTGTGATCTTCCTGCTTCAGCCTCCCAGAGTGCTGGAACTACAGTGTGCATCACCATGCTCAGCAAAATATGATATTTCGGTAAAATAAGAGAAGAGATAGGAACTGAATGCCAACCTACCATATGCCAGCTAGGGCATATAGATATAAAAAAAATGTAAAGATGAATATGACAAAGCTCTTCATCTTGTTGTTTTGAGACAGGATCTCACTAGGTAGTTCAGATTGGCCTGGAACTCACTGTATAGCCCAGGCAGGCCTCAAACTCATGGCAATCCTCCTGTCTCAGCCTCCCGAGGGCTGGGATTACAGGCATGCACCACCATGCCTGGCTGTTCATCATTTTTTAAAAAATTGCATAAACATTGTTTAGGAAGCCCCTCATAGCTCATCTTAAAGTCTTCCTTGGTTTGAACTTGCCTCAAAAATCGGCACATAAGCATGTGTCTTTCAGAGCTGTGTAGCAGTAGTTTCAGTTCTCTGTTGATAACCCATTGGTACTTGGCCTCTGCTTATTTTTCTATGTATTTTCCTGCCAGTGCATTGTAGTTATACCCCAGCAGTCTTGACCATATTTAGCTCAATGGCTGACTCAACTAAGGTGGACATCTGGAAGGATTTACTTTCCTTACAGGTTCTTTTGGTAAAACTAAGCCCAGAAATCTAACATCATTCATACCATGTTTCATCATGCTCATCCTTTCCATCCTTTTCTTCCTTTTGCTTTTCTTCCCCCTCCCTCTCTCCTCCCCTCCTTCTCTCCTGTACTTTCTGTTTCCTCCCCTTTCTCTTTCCCTCTTCTATTTTTCCTTCTTTCTTTTTTAAGCTATGAAAATTGCTCAGATGCCCAGAGTTTGGTTGGGGTTGAGTACAGAAGCCTGGAATGTTTTTAATCCTGTGTTCAGTGTTCTTGGTAATACTAGAAGAGCGGCCGAGCCATGAATCCAGTCATGTTCTTGGCTAAAGCAGTCTACCCTGACTTAAGTGCTCCTCACATGAAAAAAGACTTGGGGCTTTAGTTGACAGCAAATGCAACCTGAGCCAGGGATGTGAGTTGGCTGCCAAAACAAGCAAATGTGATCCGAACAGGTAGTAACAGAAGCCTGGCGGCTGCCTCAAGGAAAGCAATGGTCCCAGGGTACGCTCTGCAGTGGTCAGGTCACACCTGCAGGATGGTGTTTCCTTCTGCATTTTAAGAGTGACGCTGACAAGCTGGAGAGCACCCAAATTAGGCAACAGGATGATGAATGGCTGAGAAACTACATCCTTTGAGGAACAACTGGAGGATCTGGATGGTTTACTCTGGAAACTAGAAGATACGGGTGTATGAGAGAACTATTTTGAAATATTCACAGGGCTATCATGTAAGAGCTGGACTGTTCCTATGTAAGCACAACAAGCACAATTTAGCCCAATGGGTGTACCTTACAGAGTGCTGATCTTGTCTCTAAAAAAGGAAGAATTCTCCAGCCATAGGAACATCCAGACACTAGCTCTACAAGTTATCAACTTTAATATGGGATGTTAGAAAAGAGGCCAGCTGATTGGGCATTAGAGGATTCACGAACAGGATGGGGAGTTTGGAGAGATGACACAATCTAAGATCCTCTCAGGTTCAAACGTTCTAACAACAAAACTTTAGAACACAGACGTTATTATTTTTCCCCCAGATCCCATTCAACCCTGCTAAATAGCTCTAAGGTACAATATCAACATCATGAAGACGGAGGGTGGGAGAAAGCCAATTGCTACTTTCTATTTTCCTTGATGATTATGGATTCTGTACATAAAAGTTTAAGTAAACATTGTGTGTGTGTGTGTGTGTGTGTGTGTGTGTGTGTATGCCTGTGTTCCAAAACAGACTGAATGAGAGTTCTTTCCACTTAAAAAATTCTCTGGACTCTTGATTTGCTTTATTTCTCATGAAACATTTGGCTCTTCTCCCTGGCCCGGTACCAGGAATTGAACTCATGACCTTGCGCTTGCCAGGCAGGCACTGTGCCACTGAGCTAAATCCCCAGTCCCACTTTTGGCTCTCTTAGTATGTTATTTTCAGGGTACAATATTTTGAGATTACTCTTAACCCAATAATAAAAACCAGCATTTCAGAGAATGGGAGTTTGTTAGTGAGACTCCGGCTCAAAATTAAAAAGAATGAAAAATGGGTCTAGGGGCTGGGGATGTAGCCCAGTGTGAAGGTGTATGGTTCACTCCCCAGTACTGAAAACAAACAACCGAAAAAAATAGATAAAGAAAATAGGAATGTTAACACTTAATCCAAACAAAAATTCTAAGATGTAGAGAGGACAGTATTTGTCAAATGGAATGGCTGTGACAGAGCACTGCAACAAAATACTTATGAGATTAGAATGAGTCAGAAAGACCTGGGTTTAAATCTCTGTTCTGCCACCTACTTGGTGTGACATCTTCATCATTTGAGCTTGTTTCCTTATATGTAAAGTGGGCTAATAATAGGGCCTGTCTTTGGGGCTTGGGGGAGGATTACATAATGATAATAAGAGCTATTTTGTAAAAATATTGTATTATGTGTTATTATTGTCTTCCACCCATTTTTTTTCCTATGGGGTATTATGTTTTCTATTTACTTTCACTATTCTGTTTATTGTCAGCATAGAAGGGGGCCGAATAGTCAGTAGTATGCTGTAGCAATAAGCGGTAACAATTCAACGGAACAAGGGGCTTTTAGAGGCTCAGCCTAGAGCTGATCTCTGAAAATACAAAGCTGCTGGAGACCAGTCCTTGCGCTGGTGCTCAGAGAGCGTGATCCACAAGTTGCGGTGAAGACAAACCTGCCCACTTTGGGGTTCCAGAAAGGCCTGGCGATGTGCTGAGTGAGTCAGCCAGGCCAAGAAAGATGGGAGAGGTCCAGGTGGAAAGGAACAGCTGAGCAAAGGTACAGATCTCTAAGTCAGCGGACTCCCCGAGGGAACAGTAGGTGCTGTGGAAATAGTTATACTCCCAGAATCTAAATTTCCTTGTCTGTAAGGAGAAATAGTCTACCTACGTGCAATGGTGTGAGGATTCGACAAAATAGTATGTGTAAATGTTTGTACTTGACCTTGACATAGCAGTTGGTTTAATACCTGCTAACTGCCGTTACCATAATGTTCTTTTTGTTTTCTTTTGTTTTGTTTTTTCCGGTACCGGGAATCGAACTCAAGACCTCGCACTTGCCAGGCAGGCACTGTGCCGCTGAGCGAAATCCCCAGCCCCACCATAATGTTTTAGTACTTTAATAATACCTTATTATAGATATGAACGGCATCATTGCAAGAATAGTTCATTGTCTGGTAGCTGGACTGCGAACGAAGGTGACGAAAATTCATAAACCACCGTCCCACTTCTAAAGACCTTTTAGACCAGTAAACCCGAGCGGCTGCGCAATCCTACACGGGCGGGGCGTGACGTCTCCACGTCCGCACCCGGGCGGGGGGAGACCCGCTGCGCGCTCCGCTCCCAGGGTCACGTGACCTGCAGCCCCGCCCCGACGAAGCGTGTCCGGGCGGCTGCAGCAGCCTCTGCTGCGCGTGCGCAGAGTCGAGCGCGCTCTGCGGCGCGGTCCGCGGTGGAGGCTGCGCGGACAGCCAGGGGGCAGTGGATGGCTCTGCGGGGCCCGGCGGGCTCTGGGCCCGGCTCCCGCGAGCTGTTGGACGAGGCTGTGGCTGCGGCCGGGGGGCGCGAGGCGCCGGCCGTTGTGGTAGCGGGACCCGCGCTGGAGGACGATGAAGAGGATGATGGCCGCGGCCGGGGCCTGCTGCGCTGGGACGGTTTCTCGGCCTGGCTGCACTGCGTGTGTGTGGTGGGCTTCGACCTGGAGCTGGGCCAGGCCGTGGAGGTGAGGCCCGGCCGCACCCTGACTCCACGCCTCGGCCCGCGCCGGGGCGGCTCCTGCAGAGCCCGCGGCCCGCGGCCGGCGGCCAGGACCCCAGCTGTCGCGCATCCGGGCGTGGCCGGCAGCCCCTCCGCGGGGCGGGTCGAGCCGGGCTGCGGTCCATCAGTTCCCGTGGGAGGATGTTGGGCTGCGGCGAAGGGTGAAAAGTTTTCTCGAGGCCCCTCCTAAATACTTGCTGGTGTTCGTTTTTGTTTTTTTTAAACCGAGAGTCACGGGAATAACTTAAAAGCGTCAGCAGCACCCACAGAAGGCTGCAGGCAGGACGTTTGTTTGGGACTTAGAGAACAATGCCCCTGACATCTGCTGACCTGCAGTTGTAATACTACCAAGTTTGAAGGCTTTTGGTCTGTTTCAGTAACTCTTAGGGTACTCCAGTAGCCTGAGACGAAATGCTCATCTCAGCATGCGTTTCTCCTTTTCCTTTTTGCTCCTTATTTGTTATTTAATATTGTTTGTGGCACCGTTGACCTGAAATGTCAAGATGAGTATGGGGAAAACCATTTGCTTGTGAACCTGCCATTTTTGAGCACCGTGTTGGAGCACGCTGTTTTTGACGTTGTTTAGGATCCTTTCTGTAACATAAGCGCTTGCTTGTCTTTTTGTGTCCAAGGAAAGCATTATCAGAAGCGTGCATTTGTGTGTGTGTGTGTGTGTGTGTGTGTGTTTTGGTGGTGATAACAGATAATCTCCCTCCAACTTGGCTGACCTGAATTGACTTTAGAAAATTGGTCAGTGAGGAGGTTGTTCTTTTTTTTTTTTCCTTTGGTACTAGGAATCAAGCTCAGGATCTCGAGACTGCCAGGCGGGCGCTGTGCCACTGAGCTGTAGCCCTGGCCAGAGGAGGCTGTTCTTAATGGGAAACTCGCTTTTGTATTGAACCTGTTTTCCCAGTGCTTTGTCATTTCACAGGGATTTCCCACTAAGATCTACTAGGCAATATGCTAGTTATTGGACGTACAAATATAATGATGCGCTCTAAACTATATTTGTAGATTGAGTCAGTTCATTGGAGACCAAGACAAATGAAAACCAAGAATTAATTTCAGTAGTTGATAAGGCCAAAAGCAGTCAGTGCCTGGTACGTAGTGACATTTAGTAAATATGCGATAGGATGAGTTAATACATGAGCTGAAATAAGCCTTTCCTCCTATAAAAGAAAAAAAAAGAATGAATGAGTAAATACATGTGCAATTCTTTTATTAAGGTAGGAACGGCCAGGGGTAGTGGTGCACGCTTGTAATGATCCCAGCACTCTAGAGGTGAAGGCAGGACCCAGAGTTCAAATCCAAACTGGGCTACATAGGGAAAAAGAAAGGTAGGGAGGGTAGTTACCAAACCTGAAGAAGACATTTATAAGCCATTTATCATTTAAATTGACAAGTTAGCCTAAAGTTATATGTACAGGACATAGTTTTACCAGAAAGCATGGGTTTGGGTTGTAGTTTATTGCAGTTTTAAAACCTAGAGATCCTTTATTATTACTATTATTATTTGGGAGTCTTTATGAGTATTTACTTTTTTTTTTTACCAAATAAACAATGTTTAACATAGTTCAGGTATTGCATTTCCTGTAGTATATACTACTGTATAGAGTGTTCTTTTTTTTTAAAAAAAAAAAAAAAAACAGGGTCTTGCTGTGTAAGTTCAGGCTGGTCCTGAACTCGCTATATATCCCAGGTTGGCCCTGCACTCCTGGCAGTCTTCTTGCCTCAGCCTCCCATGTGTGCCACCATGCCTGGCCAAGCATGTTCTTTAGGTTAGGTCTTTTTCTTTCTTTCTTTCTTTCTTTGGGCTTTTTTTTTTAAATGCACTAAAAAACATGATCAACACCATGAACTCTTCACTACAAAAATGGTCACTAAAATAGTATTATATGTATGTTTTAATAATTTGGATTTATCTATAAACCTTCCACTGTTTTCAGATTAAAGATTGCTATTTTTAGAAAGTATAGAATGACAATGGGAAAAATAATAGTATTGAATGAGAGTGGGGAAAACTCCTAATAAGGGAGCCAAAGAAAGAGAAACACATGAAAAATGTGAAATAGGATACCTTATCTCCTTTTAAAATTAACTTTCTTTTTTTTTTTTTTTTCTGGTACCGGGAATCAAACTCACAACCTTGCACTTGCCAGGCAGGCTCTGTGCCGCTGAGCTAAATCTCCAACCCCTTAATTTTTGAGATAAGATCTTGCTATGTTGCAAAACAGACTGGCCTCAAACTTGGGATCTTTTCCTGTCAGTCCTCTAAGTAGCTAGGCTTATAGCTATGTGCCGTGGTGCCCAGCAACCTTGATGCTTTTAGGGCAGGTAGGTTTTTTGTTGTTGTTGTTTTGTTTTTGATACCGGGAGTTGAACTCAGGACAGGTGCTTGTGCTGCTGATCTATACCCCAGGCTCTCTTGATGCTTTTAAAATGAAAATAAAATCGGTAGCCAGTATATCAAAAAGGTTGAAAAACATATTTCATTTTTGGATTGCAGCTATATCCATGTTGAAAATGGTCAGGAGGGTGGCTAGAATGTGACTAGAACTGTAGACTTGTGTTGGGAGACATGCCATGTAGTGTTTCCAGCTCTACATCCTGGGCCGGAGATATAGCTCAGTGGCATATGTGCCTGCCTGGCAAGCACAAGGTCCTGAGTTCGATTCCCAGAACCAACAACAACAAAAAGCTCTACATCCTATAATGTACAGCCAACGGTACTGAAAAGGAAGATTAAAAACAATAAGTATGAACTGAATTTGGACAATACTATATTGGAGCCCAGGTGTCTTATCAGAAAGGTAGTCATTGAGGTGGTTGTGCTTGTAATCCCAGCATTCGGGAGGCTGAAGCAAGAGGATCACTGTGAGTTTGAGGCCAGCCTGAACTGCATAGAGAGACCTTGTCTCAAAAAAAAAAAAAAAAGGTAATGGAATCATAGGATTGAGAGACTGAAACAGCTGTTCTGCCATGACAGAAAGCCTGTATTTATAAATTTATAAATGCATAAACAATGCCACTTAATTGATCTGAAATTCCTACTAAATAAACCGCATAGAATTGTGTGGTTGAGAATCTAGGGTCTGGAGCTGGGCTCTGTAGGTTTGAATCCATGTGACTTTGAGCAAGTTATTTAGCTTGTCTGGGTTTTCTAGAGATTCTTCCAGTGAAGACAGTCCCTGACTTTTGCTTTGTGAAGTTGGGCTTTAATTTTTTCACTTGAAAATGAAATTGAAGTACCTGAATCAGTACCTTTTTTTGGTAGGGGAACTTTTGTCCCTGTGTAAATGAAAATCTGATAAGGAATCTTAATGGCTAATCGGATTGATATGGGGCCTGTGTTTGTTTTTGGTGATAGACAACAGAAATTTTCTGCTTCTCAAGCAGAAAAGCTAGCTCAAGCAGAAAGGAGGAACTTGGTGTAAAGACAGAGACATTTCATGCTATTAAAGCACAAACTTAGTAGAGCTCCAGAAAATGGCTAGAGCCCAGAAGCAGAAAAACCTTGTTTTGCTCTTTTATTTGTATTTTTTCTTGTTGTTCATTTTGTTTGGATTTTTTTGCTTTTTTTCTTTCTTGTTTGAGACAGGGTCTTCTGAAGTTCAGGTTAGCCTTGAACTCACTGTGTAGCCCATGCTGGCCTTGAACTTGTGGTGATCCTGCTGCCTCACTTCCTGTAAATGTGTACCATCATGCTCATCTTGTGTTTTTTGTTTTTTGTTTTTTTTGTCAGTGTGATGCATACTTCATACACCCTGCAGACAACTTCTGCTTCTTTATGGTGGGGAAGTTGGCCTTTTCAGCTGCATCATTCAAGAGGATGAATCTTTTTCACTCTTGTTCTAAACACTAGAAGAAGGTACAAAGGCCTGGATTGGGAAAGTTTCCACTCTGATACAGTTGGCTGAAGCCCTGGTTGGAGGGGGCAGTAGTTCACTTTGCATTAAAAGTCTGTGGAAGCCCCCTGTCCTAGTGAGGGAGAAGGGAATAAAAGAAGGAGGTCTTTTGAGCTGAGAAGAGACTGCAAAAGGTGCTGATTAGAGGGATTTGCTCCTCTTTACTTCCCTGAGGTGGCCCTGGAATCACCACAGAATCCAAGTGTCCTCTGAAACAAGATTGGAAATCCCCTAAATTTTATATATAGTACTCTGTCACGTTTAGCTTTGAAATGACCAGATTCTACAGTAAAGCCTTAATTATCTGAATCCAGAATTGCCTTATTTATTCAAGTTTTTTTTCCTTGAATGAGAATAACATGCTCATTGTTGAACACTTGACTGAAAAAGAAAATTTTAAACACTAGAAAAATAATTGGTCCTAGCTCTACCAAGAGATAACTTCTATTAATATTTGGCATTTTTGTTAATGCTTCTTTAAAGATGTACCAGCAGCTCCAGCTACTATTTTTCCCTTGTATACAATCTTGTATCCATCAAGGGTTAATGTGATTGTTAGGAACAAAAATCTTCTCAAATAAATTTAAGTAAAGGGAAATTGTGAATATTCCAGGCAGTCTGTTGGGACCCAAGGGCAGGAAGCAAGGATGAGCCTCTTGGGAATTTGAAAATCCCAGGCTTTTGTCTTTGCCCCTGGAACTGTGTGGTCTTTTGTCTCTGCTTTTCTTTGTATGTCTGTTCTAGTCTGTGCTGAGACCAGTTTCCTCTGCAGGAGTCTCAGTTTCTGCTCCCTCATAAATTATCCTTAATTTTGGATTATAGTAGTACTGATTGTTAGCCAAACTTTTTTCTGGAATCGGGCTGAACCTTAATGAAAGTACTGGAATATCTGATTGGCTCTGCAAGGGTCAGGACCTTTTGTTCAGTTAGCTAGAGTCTGCTTATCTATGACTGTGGTGGCCACCTGGGCTCACCCCTTCAATAAGAGGAGAGGCTGCTTTCAAAGCATGGACTGGGCTGCAGTCACCCAAATGTGGACTATGCGATAAACATGGTGGCA